GAGTGAGCTCTGACCACCAAAGGACACGGCTGGTCAGAGTACTCGTATGCAAGTGAAATAGCCTCAACTATCCACTTACTAACCGTCTGTTTAGAAGCAGGAAGACCCTTCTTAGGTGATCCAAAGCAAATAAATAACTGGTCGGACTTCCTCATTGACGATGTCCGATGAACATAAGTATCCAGTGCTCGCACTGGACACAAGAGGTTCAGCCTTTCCTGGTCCGCAGATGTAAAAGGAGGAGGACAGAAAGCCTGCAGCACAATAGGCCTCGGAATCAAGGTCGGCACCTTAGGGACGTATCCCTGTTTCGGATATAAGAATGCCTTGACCATCCCCGGTGCAAACTCAAGGCAAGTGGGGGAAACCGAAAGGGCCTGAAGGTCTCCAACTCACTTAAGGGACGAAATAGCTAGCAGAAAGATAGTCTTAAGGGTGAGAAATTTCTCTGAAACCGAATCTAAGGGCTCGAATGGAGCCCTAGACAGGCCTTCTAGTACTATTGCCAAATCCCAAGCTGGCACCCTAGTGCGAATTGCAGGCCTCAGCCTCAATGTGCCACGAAGGAAACGTGTAATCAGGGGGTCTCGACCCAGCGATGTACCCCCCACCAGGGCGTGGTAAGCCGCAATGGCCGCCACGTAAACCTTAAGTGTGGAAGGACATAAACCTGACGTAAAGCGCTCCTGCAAGAACTCGAGTACTGTGTTCACAGAACAGTTAACCGGATCCCACTGATGTCGGTGACACCATACAGAAAAAACTTTCCATTTCAGCGCATATAGTTTCCTAGTAACTGGAGCTCTGGAGCTTAGAATGGTCTCAGCAGCCTCAGCTGAGAGACCACTCTCTATGAGTTGGGCCCCCTCAGAGGCCAAACCCACAGGTTCCAAATCTCTGGTCGGGGGTGCAATATTGTGCCCCCGGCCTGAGACAGAAGGGTTCTCCTGATCGGGATCTCCAAGGGAGGACCGTCTAAGAGATGGATCAGGTCCGCAAACCAGATCCGACTCGGCCAGCGTGGTGCTACTAGCAGTAGGCTTATTCCGTACTGGCGGACTCGCTCCAGAACTCCTGGGAGCAGAGCAACAGGGGGAAATGCGTACAGACGTAGCCTCGGCCACGTCTGCACCATAGCATCCAGCCCCAGGGGGGCTGGGTGAGTAAGGGAGAACCAAAGTGGACAGTGCGTCGTATGCTGAGACACAAACAGATCCACCTCTGCTTGGCCGTAAAACTCCCAAATTTTCTCCACCGCCTCGGGGTGGAGTCTCCAGTCCCCTGGCCTCAGCTCCTGCCTGGGCAGGATGTCTGCCCCAATATTTTGGTCCCCAGGAATATACACTGCCCTCAGGGAGAGTACCTTCCCCAGAGACCACAGGAGGATCTGGTGCGCCAGCTTGCAAAGCGGAAGCGACCACAGACCCCCCTGACGGTTCAGATAAGAGACCACCGATGTGTTGTCTGTACGGACGAGCACATGATGGCCCCTCAGGTCTGGGAGGAATTGCTTCAACGCATTGAAGACAGCCATCATCTCCAGGCAATTTATGTGCCAAGAAAGATGATGACCCCTCCACCGACCCTGAACCGAGCGGCCTTCCATTACCGCTCCCCAGCCGGTGAGGGAAGCATCTGTCGAGATCGCAACTCGATGGCAAAGAGCTCCCAACACCGGACCCTGGGTTAAGAACCAGTGCGCGTGATCTTGATCATACGAAGTGGGTTTCCCCTCGGGGAGAACCCTCTGGTCCTGAGCCACCACTGCAAAGGTCTCATGTACAGCAGGCCAAAAGGTATCACGTTGGACGCTGCTGCCAAGAGACCCAACAGTCTCTCGAACTGTTTTACAGTGCGTGACTGGCCTAGCCTCAGCTCTTCTGTGGCTGCCAGGATAACAGCTACACGAACGGGCGATAGAGTGGCCCGCATCGTCACTGAATCCCATACCACACCAAGGAAAGTGGTTCTCTGTACTGGAGAAAGAACACTCTTCTTGGCATTGAGCCTCAACCCCAACATCTGCATATGAGCGAGAACGACACCTCGGTGCCGAACCGCCAACTGCTCTGATTCCGCTAGAATCAGCCAGTCGTCGATGTAGTTCAGAATGCGTATGCCCTGAAGCCTGAGCGGGGCTAAAGCTGCATCTACGCATTTCGTGAACGTGCGGGGTGATAGAGCTAGACCGAAAGGAAGTACCCGATACTGGTATTCTTTGCCCCCGAAAGAAAACCTTAGGAACTTCCTGTGCTGAGGGAGGATGGAGACATGGAAGTAAGCGTCCTTCAGATCTATCGTGACAATCCAGTCCTCGGATCTGATTTGAGTCACGATCTGTTTGAGTGTCAGCATCTTGAACTTGAGTTTCTGTACTGAACGATTCAACAGACGAAGATCTAAAATGGGACGCAACCCTCCATCCTTTTTCGGAACAATGAAATAACGGCTGTAAAAACACCTGTTCTATAGCTTCCTTTGCTAACAGGGCCTTTACCTCTTGCTCCATTACCAGAGCCTGCTCGGGATGCACTACTGTGAGCAACACCCCGTTGTAGCGAGGAGGACGAGAACCGAACTGGATTCTGTATCCTTTCTCTACAATCTGCAGGACCCAATGAGAAATATTTGGCAGTAGCTTCCACGCTGCCAGAAAATCTACTAAGGGAACCAGCCTCTCGAGGCTGGTCTCTGGTGTTAACGAGACAGCCAGTTCTGGAGCCTGAAACATAATGGCAGGAACTACCTGAACTGGCTGCTCTAAAACCCCCCTCAGAGGGCGCGAAACCGATGCAGTGCCGCAGCATAGCATCAGCGACTCGCTGGAGACCGCTGCGCCCCGAAGCACCAAGGGTGACGGGGTTGGCAGAACGGTCCCGTGAGGACCCCGAAGTGGAACGGGCACCGTATTCTGAGGTGTACACCACTCCACTTCGGTCGGGGCCGTCCTCACAGGTCTGATGCCAGTGACGTCAGGACCTCTTTTTATGAGCCGAAGTCTTCTTCGCCTGAAGAACGGTCCTCAGATCCGGCTTCGACTTAGAAGACTTCGACTGTGTTGTGCCTGTTTCCAGTGTTTATGTGGAGGTGCACGAGACGAAACACTCTCTTTTTGTTGCGCACGATATGAGGAGCTCGACGGCTGGGGCTGCTCACGCCCAGCAGCCCCAGGGGGCTGGACACGGCGAGGGAGAAACTTTTTAAATGCCTCCGCTTGCTTCTTTGACTCTTGAAATCTCTCGACGACCGCATTGACTGCGTCGCCGAAGAGACCAGAAGGCTCAAGCGGAGCATCCAATAAAAAAGCCCGGTCTTTTTCTCTTATTTCGGCCAGATTTAACCAAAGGTGTCTCTCAGTAGCTACAAGGGCTGCCATAGACCGCCCAATTGCTCTAGCGGTCTCCCTTGTAGCTCTGAGAGACAGATCGGTGGCCCGACGAAGTTCTCGAACTTCGTCAGGACCAACTCCCTCACTCTTATCCAGATCCCCCAGCAAATCAGCCTGGTAAGCCTGGAGCACCGCCATAGTGTGCAGACATGCTCCAGCCTGACCTGCTGCCGTATAAGCTTTGCTCACTAAACCCGATGTTGCTTTAAGTGGTCTAGTAGGCAAAGCTGAGGCCTTCAGAGACGATGCTGGGCCAGGTGATAAATAGCTCGCGAGCGTCTGTTCAGCCTGGGGCATCGCCTCATAACCGTACTCTTTCAGCCCTCTTATACCTGAATATAAATTAACTTGAGGGCTGAAAAGTCGTGATGAGTACGGTTTATCCCATGATCTAGATAACTCATTATGTAAATCAGGAAAAAAGGGAAGGCCTCGTGGTGGAGATGATGTAGCTGAAGAAAGGAAGCACTCATCTAATTTACTTTTGGGACGAGCGCCCCTTTTCTCAGCTGGCCATTCAATATTTAATTTCTCTACAGCCCTAGACATCACATCCACCAGCTCCTCATATGCTGGGGAAACAGGTGGCGAATCTCTTTCCCCAGTGTGTGTGCTTAAACTCTCCATACTCATCATATCAACCTCCTCAGAGGAAGAACAATGAAGTAATGGAGGGCTCTCTCCCCGGGCGGAAGAAGCCGCAGAGCGGGCTTCAGACACCGGGGGGAGAGCACTGGACCCTCCGGGTAAGGAAGGAGAAAAGGCCCTCGGACCCGTCTCCAACCCCTCTGAAAGATCCTTTTGCGATCCCCAGGAATGCATTCTCCATGCTGCCTCGGCAACAGCGGGTCCTGCACCATGAGGATCGCGAACCTGACCACTCTCGTCAAAGAGTGACAGGCGAGAGCGGAGCATGCAAAGCGGAAGCATCTCACAATGCTGGCACTCAGCCCCCTCGAAGGCTGAGACCGCATGCTCCACTCCCAAACAAATAACACAAAGCTCATGTGTGTCCCCACCCGTTAAATAACGCGGGCAGGGAGAAGCACACTGCTTGTACATTTGTTTCGCCATAACTCTTCCAATATAAATGCAACAGACAACAATAAATAGACAGAGACAGAGTACACAGATCGCTTGCTGAGACACAGAAGCTAATGCCGGCTTTCACCGGATGTGCTTTTATCCCTTCCTGGTCATGACGTCACCCGCCCGTGACGCTCATTCTTTCCATTGGACTAGTTGACATTGATACTCAGACGCATTCACGCTGGGGGTGTTCCCATAGCGTTGATGACGCATCGCGTGTTCCCTCGAAAGGGAACTGAGTGAGTTACTCACCAACACTAAAAAAAGACAATATTTTTAAGGGTCAGTCCAAAGCTTATTACTCTATTTGGCAGTAAAAAACTAAAAATAAAACAGTTTGTCTCTGGAGTTTTGTATTTACACTTGCAGACTGAATGAATCATGTTATAAAAAGTTTAACAAGCTGCCTGACAGGTGAAAGAGGAAAAGCTTTTATTCCTCATACAGTCATGTCACTCTGTTTTGTCAAACTCTGAGTGGATGATGCAAAAGCCTTTAAAGAGGAAATACCTGATTTTTCACCGCTGTTAAATATTTCTCTGACATTTGCTTGACTCTCTTTTATCAAGATGGAGCTGTACATAACCATACTCACCCTTGCTGTTGTTCTTCCAACCGATGCTGAATGTAAGTGAAAGTTTTATAATCCGGATGTGGTAAAATGACAAAACTGATCATGTGTAACACCATTAGTCATTCATTCAAAACCTGCTTGTGTTTTTCTTAAGGGTTTTAAGGCTTTCCTTTCACACAACCATTGTAATAAGTAATGTTCAAAACTCTTGGTACAAAAAACTTTTTCATGAGGGCATGATACATGTTTTAAATCACCCTTAGTGGTGCTAGAAATGTTGTAGTACTCCATCATAGTGTCATAATAAAGCAAATTGAACACTTAACAATCAGCAATGATTAGAATGTCTATGCAATGTGTTATCAGAAGTTGTAGTCAATGAAGACATGGCAAGAAGTTTATGTCTGATCTGAGAGTTGAATAGACTACACAGTTGCAGGTAATAGCCTACAGTTATCTGAACACATCATAATTGTTGTAGAATGTTCTTGTATTTTTTAAGTGTTCTTGTATTCAATAAATTCCATACATATTTTTCTATATATTTAGGGTAGCACTTTTTTCTGATTTTCTTGCTTTTAAAATATTAACAGACAACTCATGTAAAGCCATATTCTGAAATGTACATGTAAGGATGTGTACATGATTCCAGTCAGGGTCGGCTAATGATTTATTGAACTTATACTTTGAATAGTTGCAGTTACTGTTTACAATCAGACACTCACACTACATCTGCGTAGGTTTTGCTTCCAACACATTAAATCTATGACCCTCCAACAGTTTTGGAAATGGATGGATAGACCTTATAAGTTATATCTATGATAGCACTGGAAGAACATTCTGATAGATAGCATATATATTATATGGTCACTCTCCATGAAAACACAAGCAGTTGATTTTAAATTTTAAAGCAAACACCAGTGACATAAGAAAAATTAGCATGCATGTACTGAGTTTTTTGAGTGGATAATTTGAAAAAAGACCTTGCAGTACTGAACTCAATAAAAAAGTTAACTGATACAGACAAGGCTTGAGAAAGCCTGATCAGAAAGTGTGAAAAGTTTGAAGGTTTTCAATTTATAGTAGTTTTAAAGCTTAAAGTTATAATGTGTTCAAGACAACATTTAGATTCACTGTAACAGCCTTTTCCTGAACAATATTCCTGTATACCCCTTTTAGCCTTTAAGTTGTTAACTATGGAAGTCATTATCATCACTTGATAAAAAAATATCAAGTTATAAGTATTAATTAAAGTAAATGATTGTCTGTTTATTTGTTTGTCGTTATTCCATTACTCACATTGACTTCAAGTCCTCACATTACCTGTTGGTTTGTATACAGCTACAATAGATTCTTCATTTGCCAGTTATGCAGCTAAAATGTTTTTTACAATGATTGTAGGTGATTGAGATTAATTTCATTTCATGTATACTCAGATTATAAGAGGCACACACAATGAGTTAACCTACATAAAGTAGTTGGTTAATGCTTAATTTCACAGATATGAAAGGGACCCATGTCCTTAAATTCCCAGAAGCACAATTCAGGTTTGTAACAGTTTATATCAAGGAATAGTTATTGATGGCTTCACACAAAAGTACATCACAGGTATACAGAATCAGTATTTAAACCATAAAAATACATAATAAATTATACTCAAATGACCCAATTCCGCTTAAAACATCATGGGATGGCATCCTCATTACAGGGGTCCTATAATGTGAGGGAACAAACAATATACAATCATAACAAAGGAAAGAAAGAAAACCTAGTCTGACCAAAAGGCCTTTCCCAAGTCTTTTGGACCAATTACCAGCTCAAGCACCAGGACGGACAAAAATAAAACAAAAGAAGAAGGGAAAAAAACTCAAAATAACAAGAGCAATATACTCTGTAGAACTGATATAAATACATACTGTAAAGAACATCTTTGGTTTATATTATATATCAGCATATGTTAATAACAATTTGAATCAAATTCATAACTTTCGCAAAGATCCAAAAATAATGCAAATGTGAATCCCTCGCACACAAACAAAGTGATGTTTTGGAATTAGGAGGCTTTGGATGAGATGTGTTAAAAAATTAGTCCTACACAAAAGATTGATTTAAAGACAAAAACCTTACAAATGTCTTGAAATAAAACATCAACAATCATGTCTTGAGGGTGTGTTAACAGTAAAGTGAAATAATTGACTCTATAGCTATTTCATGTGTATAACTATATTGACTTTATTATGCTCATTCTATTTCAGTATTACATGAATATTTTGGAATTCATGGATGCTCTGAGACAGATGGAGAGGATATGCATGGAATTGATGGAGAGGAAATGTGGCATGCCGACTATAATCAGAAGAGAGGAGTAGTAACAATACCTGATTTTGGAAATCCTCTTGTATTTCCTGATTTTTATGAAACAAGTGTTGTTGAAATGAAAGGGTGCAAAACTGAAGTAGCCTTTTTGACTAACATTTTCGAGAGCCCACCACCAGAAATGGGTAAGGCATGGAAATGTGCTATTAAATCTTACATTTTTGAATGAACATCAATACTACAGTACAGTACAGTACATACAGGGATATGGTAACTCTTTATAAAGGGGATCATTACTATTAATATCCCATCTACAAATGTCTTAAAAGTCAGTGGTAGGCAGTTATAACGACATAACAATTTAACTCTCGTTATAAATTCTTAATAATAATGCCTTTTTAACCTTATTTTATTAAAAACCAAATTCATGATTTACACTATGATGCATGAAGTGAACTTTTAATCTATCTGTAAACAGAAATTAAATTAAACTTACATATATACATCCAGTGTAATCATGTTTTGTCTCAAAAGTTTACAGTGATATCTATATTTGTTTAAATTAATTAAATATATATATATATATATTGCTTCTAGATGCACCACAAACATCCATCTATCCAAGGGATGATGTACAACTAGGTGTTCAGAACACCCTCATCTGTCATGTGACCGACTTCTATCCTCCATCTATCAGCATCTCATGGACTAAGAATAATGTTAATGTGACAGAGGGCATGAGTTTAAGTCAGTACCGTCCAAGGGCAGATGGTACCTTCAGCGTCTTCTCTACTTTTAGGATTACACCTATTGAAGGAGACATTTACACCTGCACTGTGAACCACATAGCCCTTCAGGGTCAACCTCAGATCAAAACATGGGGTGAGTGTCATTTTCAAATCGAAGGAATTGATATTCGATTTCAGTGCAGCTTAATAAAAAAAAAAAAAAACATGTATTCTTTCTGTTAATATTTCACGCAGCCTCCAATATCCTATTCATGTTTGTTTGTTTTTTCAGATGTTGATGTTGCCCTCCCAAGTGTTGGTCCAGCTGTGTTCTGTGGAGTGGGTCTGACTCTTGGACTATTGGGAGTCGCTACTGGAACTTTCTTCCTCATTAAAGGGAACAACTGCACCTGACTTGGAAGCAAAGACAACATCTCTTATTGGAACTGGCCAATTAGACAACTATGCTATTGAAATGGTGGATTACAGAATCATTTCAATATATATCCTTTGAGTGGTTGTTAATTAATTTATTAATCAATAATTATCCTTTTAAATATAAATTATTTGAATGACTTCTTCAGGCTTATGATATTTATATAATCACTGGAACATGTTCTCTTTGTTTTTGAGAGAAGCACCCAACACATGTTAAATCATATATTTACTCTTCTAGCTGACATGGGTATCATGGGTAGCCTAGGTCACTGGCGTAACTCAGGTCTGTCTCCTATGTGACCAATTCATATTCAAAGCATTTACTTTACTTTTCATCTTCAATCACTAGAGAATAATGACAATGTCTGAACCCCTTACTGAGAGAAGTATACAGCATATTTTGGTAAAGTTTCCTGATCAGAGCTAGAGCTCGACCAACTCCAACCTTGAAGAAGCTGTATCTGTGTATGTGTTTTAGTACCCTTTGTTACAGGACCTGATGTTTGTGAGGTGATCAATTGGCACCCAGGATGGCTAAAACTGGACACTAGACACTTACAGAGATGTGTAAGTGATCAGAGATCCTGGATGTCATCAAGATAATCAATGGAGATATGCTTCTGACTAACAGCCCATATGTAGAATTTTTCTAAGTTGATCAATGCCTTAACCAATCAGAATCATTCAACCTGAAATAATGGTGTATATAGTGACCTGTGTTCGAGTATAATTGCTGCTGTATTAAATGTGTACGCAGAGCACTTCTTACTGACTTCTGCTGATGAAACGGCAAAATATTCTTCAGTAAAAATCTCCAACAATTAATTGCATCTCTGACTCCTGGTTTGTATTGATGATATGTTGTCCTCGGTTCTTATCTGTAAATTCCCCTACACTATATTGAACACATGTGTGACATTTCCATGACAGATATCATTGTTTATGTTGAAGGTATAAATTAATGCATAAATCTGGATTCAATATGTTCTAGTAATCTATTGACTCAAATACTTAAAAGCATGATAAACTTGTCTTGCTATGTAATACCAGACATACTTATATTAAAAGTCTACAAGCCTTTTATTGGAAAAAAAAAAGAAATATCTTTTCTTAAACATAATATGTGTAGTTCATATGCTAATGTGACGAACTGATTAATATTGCAACTGAACTCAACAGCCAGTGATTATTTTCGTGTATGGAAAAGAGCAGGGGCCTCATGTATAAAACCTTCTGCAGATTTCATCCTAAAAGAGTGCATACGCACAAAGCTATATCCCGAATAGACGTGCCTTCAGACCAACCTCTGCCTTTAGAAGAGGCAATAGCCCTTGTCGAATGAACTCTGATGTTGAAAGGGCATTCCTGTCCTTGGCTCGCATAAGCCAAAGCGATAGCGTCCACTATCCAGTGAGAAAGCCTCTTCATACTGCTCGTCCATTTGTACAGCCACTGTAACACACGAAGAGCTTGACAGCATGTCGAAAGACAGCCAGGCATTAGATATAAATCCGCAAAGCCCTGACCGTCACACAGCACCCTGAGCGTCGGCGTCATGCGAGGTCGACTGCTTGGAAGACAAAGCGGGTAGAGACATGACCTGCGCTTTAAAGGCGGTAGAAAGAGACTTAGGCACGTAGCTCGGTCTCTGCCGGTGAGTGACACTGCAGTCACCAGGTCCAAAGGGAATACAATTGCCGGTCACTGAGAATGCATGCAAATCTCCAATGCGCTTAGCTGAAGCAAGGGCAAGAAGCAGAGCAGTCTTGAGAGAGAGATCCCTTATAGCAATGGATGCCAAGGGCTCGAACGGGGGTAGACAGAGAGCCTTCTGTACCAGCGCTAGGTCCCATGGCAGTACCGAGGGTGGGCAATGGTGATGTAGTCTCCTCAGCCTCCTTAGAAATCTGACCAACAGCGCATGCCTCCTGATCGATTGCACGTCAACCGGGGAATGAAATGAGGCAATAGCTCCCATTATCCAACCTGTGCAGCAGGAAACCTAAAACGTCAGATACGGGACAGCTCGCTGGGTCGATATAGTTCTTACTGCACCAGTTTACAAACACTCTCCATTTAAGAGCGTATAGACGCCTAGTAGAAGGTGCACGAGACTCAGTGAGCGGGAAGGTCCAGCTTTAAGACCCCTGAAGCAGCCACACATGAAGGCTCCACAACTCGGGGCTGGTGTGCCATATCGTGCCGTTCGCTTGAGACATGCGGCAAAGAAAATCAAGATCACCGACACTCTCTCCTCCTTGATTTTGCACCAGATGCAAAATCTTTACTGGAGGGAATGCGTGAAGTCTGGCTCTTGGACAGAGCGATGTCAGAGCGCAGAGAGTGAGAGAGAAAAGAACAGCGGGCAGTGCGTTCTCGCTCGTCGTGAACAGATCCACCTCCGCCCTCCTGAAGCGGTCACAAATCATCCGAACCGAACAGGGATTAAGCCTCCACTCCCTGTGAGGAATTATATTCCTTATTTATCTTATTAATTTACTTATTAAATAAACTTATTTATAAACATTTAAATTTATATGAATCCCATGTCATAGGATGTCACAGGACAATTTTAAATGAATGTGAAGATCATTTGCTGCTTAAAACCTTATTTATTGGAAGGATTTATCTTAAGGCCCTTTTTATTTGTAGAATTTATTTCACTATATTATGTTGCCTCCTAACCATATTCTTGTAGTTTAACAAAAAAAAGCCATCAAGTGACAGTGACACTAATATTTGATTGTGTTCAGTACTTGCTCTGATGAAAATCGCTGAGCCGGATGGGTGTGTAGTGGTAAGGTGCACGATTGGGACCATCCTGTCAATTTTGGGAAATATGGTCTCTGACACCCTTTGGTGCTTGGACTTTTGACCAAGGCCGTAACCAGGGTTTGAAAATTAGTGAGGTCCGGGGTGTTGTGTAAAGAATTTTGCTATAATAATGGTTTGGCCATTGGACCCACATTTCCCAATGGACATTAAGCTGTGACCCTTTTTTTTAATGGAATTTGGCATATATATATATATATATATATATATATATATATATATATATACAGGGGTTAAATTTGGATTTAATTATGTGTGGGGTAGTCTCTCACTAGGGGGGTCCGAGGGTTTGCCCCCCCGGGATTTTTTTTGTGAAAAATAAACCAAAATGGCACTTTCTGGAGAGTTTTGTGCAAAGAAAAAGTAGGTCTAGCAAGTGCAACGCAATCTCACGACCAATTCGTCCGAATTTGACGAGTGATTAAAAGATGGCTAATTCGTACGAATTCGTACGACCTCATTCGTACGAATTTGTACGATTTGTCTAAACCCACGTGATGGGTAGGTTTAGGGGCGGGGTCAGGGTCATTCGTACGAATTCATACGAATTGGGCAACTCGTCAAATATGTACGTTTTAGCAAAAATCGTACTAATTCGTACGAGTGAGGTCGTACGAACTGTTACGAATTAGCCATCTTTTAATCACTCGTCAAATTCGGACGAAATTCACACAGATCAAACACAAATATGCTGACTGAATAGATTGCTAGTTGAGAAACACTGCTTTAATTAATGTTTTTATGATGGCTTTGTGAAAGGTTAACTAAACAGCATGAGCCGTCTTCCAGCTGGCCAGTAAGTTATTTGGCAAATTTCATTCTGTAGGCTAACATACAGATCTGTTTTATGCTATTGTTTTTGATAGTGTTATACATTTCTTACAGATAATCGATTGTCATTGCGTTTGTCTAACCGAATGTGGTAGCTTTATGCAATTACAGTTTGTCTATAAGCTTCTTTTTTTATAAATGTATTAATGCCGACAGTTAAATGTTGCCAGATATTGCTACGAAAAACAAGCAAAACAAAATAATAATAATAATCCGAAATAAGTTCAAAGCTTGTGTTTTGGAAATAAGGTTAATATATCACTAAACCTTTCCACATTAATAACTTCCTAAAGTGTCACATTAAATCAGAAAAACAGGTAACTACTGCCACCTTTCTATTAGGTGGATCTGGCAACACGGAGGCTGCACCCGCGTTCACAACGCGCTCTCAAGCCCCGTTCAGTTCACTGCGCCAGCTTCTCGCAGCAACATGAATTGCAAACACTCATATGAGGTGGTTTAAACACTGCTAATTAATCATTCAGAGAGCTTGACATTTTATTTTTGAATGTAAAAAAAATGACCGAGGTCCGGACCTCGGTGACCTCATAGCTGGCTACGGCCATGCTTTTGACACCCTTACACTTCGGTGCTTGGACACCTGATTATATTTAAATTGATCACTGAATAATATAATTCATCGCATTAATAACTTGACATTGTTTTTGTTGTAAAATGAAAGCAGGATGCTGCCTAGCAACACTTGACACTTATACTAACAGTTATCTTAGACATTCATCTCATGAACATGAACAAAGCACTGGCAGCATTCAGCTGGGAATTAGTGTGAGTGAAAATGTCACTGCAAAAGCTCTTGCGTTATCATCTCATATGGACACTGGCTGCATTCCTTGTAGCAGAAAGTGGTAAGTAACAGCGGTATTGAAGTAATGTTATTATATCAACAATAATTGCATTATTATTGTTGTAAGTGTTATTAGTAGTTGTAGTAGTAGTAGTAGTGCAACATTATCGTATTAAGGGTGACTCGTTCTTATGGTGATGAACCTTCTAAGGGAAATATTACTTGACAAGTACTTTTTATAAAGACAACTCTGTACTGCAACTGACTGATGCATCCAAGTTCTTCTGTTTCTTTCTTCTTGACATTTATCTGACAGTTTGTTCTCTGTGTTCATTCTTTTTCAGCTAATGTATATTACCGATACCGTATGTCAAGATGCATCTACAGCTCCTCTAATATCAGTGACATGGTGTATTTTAACAACTATTATTTCAATAAATATCTATTCATACAGTTTGACAGCACTCTGGGGAGATTTGTGGGGTTTAATGAGTATGGAATGAAACTTGCGGAGTCCTGGAACAGTGGCCCTTTAGTGAAGAAAGAAGGAGCTATTGTAGACTGGTACTGCAAAGGTAATGCTCAATTGTTTGACTCCGCTATCTGTGAGAAATCAGGTAAGTGGCACAAGACTCTTCTCTCATTTTTCTCTCATGTAGAGCATATATATATATATATATATACTGTACACACCTATTATAGACACTGCTCTTCTTGATTCAGTGAAACCGAAGGTTAAGCTCAGTTCAGTGACGCAGGCTGGTGGCAATCATCCAGCTGTACTGATGTGCAGCGCATATGAATTTTATCCTCCACACATCAAAGTGTCCTGGCTGAGAGATGGTAAACTGATGACCTCTGAAGTGACCTCCACAATGGAGATGGCTGATGGAGACTGGTACTACCAGATTCACTCTGAGCTGGAATACACTCCTAAATCTGGAGAGAAGATCTCCTGTATGGTGGAGCACGCCAGCTTCAATAAACCCATGATTTATGACTGGGGTAAGAGGAGATACTTTACGTACTGTCATTTTAGTAATATGTTTGTGGGCAGCATCATTTAACACACTAGTGTACCGGACAGATCCGTCTCTCCCAGAGTCTGAGAGGATTAAAATTGCTATTGGATCCTCTGGTCTGGTGCTGGGAATCATCATAGCAGCTGCTGGACTCATTTACTACAAGACGAAATCAACAGGTTAGTTAAAATGATCTAGAATAAATCAGTTTGATATTATTCTTTTTACGTCATCCCTGTATACATGCATTGTAATGCATTTTTTGGTTGTTGTTGTTTTTTGACAGGAAGGGTCCTAGTACCTCATTGATGATGGTAGATTTCTCTATAAATGCTAACGTGTGCAACATGATTAATAAGTATACATATTTCAGGTCCTCATTCTGACTGCAAGGTCAGATAATGAAGCTTTTTATCCTTTATGGCACAATATTTAATACACAATCTTATTTCCACAAACCTTTAGTTGATGATCCTTTACGTTTCTAAAATTTAAAACAAGGAAAACAACAATGATATAAATAAAGCATAAAATCTATAGAGAAAAATAAAATGTAGAGATGATAGAGATAATTGTTCTTGCTGAGTTTGTCTCTATTTGTACACAATAATGTACTAGCAAAGAGTTTGTGAAACTAAAATATAAGTTTTAGTTTCAAACTGTGTTGCTGTGCTGAATACATTAAAAACAACAAAAGCATTACTGATGAGCATTTTTTTTAACTCTTCTTTCTTTGCTTTAAGAAAGCTGATTAGAAGTGAATGTGTAAATTTGCATCTAATTTGTCTTATAGGAAACTGTCCCCTATGTCCCTAATGAGGCTGACTTTAAAAATGTTGAGAGAAACATTTTCTTGACTTTGATGTTCTAAATGCACATTTCTGCCATTTTTTTTCTTTACAAATGGTTTTAAGCAAACTAATATTGATTTAGATTTGTAATAATTATTAAAAACTTAGCTGTCATCCATTGACATTCTGATATTTTCTCTGTTCTGAACAGAAAAGTACACAAAGAAAAAAATAGCTATAAGGAACAGAAGTTAAAGGATAGATGACAGAATTTGTTGGCCGGTTAGAGGTTAACTGCAAAAATAAAATAAAAAAAAATTTCCCACTGAAATGAGTCTTCATTTCATTAGCTCATACATATATATTTTTTTTTTGTAAATGTGTCAAAAGCACTATTCAGTGAAAATGTTGAAACGTGTGAAACTTTTTTAATACTGTTAAATGTTCCATGTGTACCAGTTCCCAGGTGGATGAGTCCCATGGCGATGGTGTCCTGTGGACAGAAAAACAGTGTCCTGTCCTGTACACTGTTACCAGTTTATCCATCTAGCATGAACTGGTGCTTATTATGAAATAATGAAATATTTCCCCATATTATGAAAAGTTGAACATTAGGAAGGTATATCCTCATCAAGATGACAGTAACTTTCACACGATTAAAGGACCTTCCATGAGCCTGAGCCTCCATGACCTCCGTGAGGTTTTGTGAGGAAGTATCACAAACCTAAATTTCCAGTGCAGGTTTGGTTGTGTTTGTGGTATTTTATCTCTGGTATTTTAAAACTGGTTTACCTTGATTGTTGTAAACATGCAATCAAGTTCTTTTACAGGTGCACTGGTGCTAGTCATGAGGAAGTTTTGGGGGAACTATGGGGAAGTTTTAATCAGATTTGAACAATCTTTCTTGTTGTTTCATAATACACGAACAAATATAGGCCCCTTTCACAGACTGGACATCGCTCTCTTTCCATACAGATTAGATAAACAGAGAATATTTGTTTTGAATGAGATCATTTAAATGTAGACACTTAAATGTTATAGATATATTGCTCATGTCTGTGTGACAAGTATTCGCTGAGGTTTGTTTCATGTTTGTGATGCACTCCACAAAAAAGTTCACAGAGACTGAGATGTCAGAAAGCACACCCTGTTTGTTTTCTTTATTCTACAAAAGCACAATGTTTTGTTTTGATTGTAAGTTGACACAAGTAAAAGTGTACCAATAGAATGATTGTTTTTATCTATATGACCATAAATGACTTATATACATGACTTAGTATTTTAAATCGATTTTTGCTGCTATATGCGAAAAAATACACAACAATCCACTGATGTGTTTGTTGACCCCAGAGGATTAAACAAAGTTGTACATGCTTGTTCAATGAACCTTACAGTAACTTTACCTTGCAGGGGCAAACCATGTGTCACCAAATTTGTTTAGTCTCAGTTGTTGAACTTTTTATATTAATACATATAAAAATAGTTGAATTTGAGATGACATTTCTTTTTTTGCTGAGTTTATATTACTGAATATAATATTTAATGTATCTGTTGGGCCTGATCATGCCAAAAGACAGCAGATTTGCTGGTATCACATTGTCCTGTACATCGGTAACCAGGACCACAACTGATTTTTTCTTTTTTGATCAGGTTTTTTTTTTTTTTTTAAGTTTTTTAAAGTTTTTTAACAAACAATCTCTATGCTCTATATTAATGTCTAGACAATTTTAAAAGGGGGCAGTCGGGGTAAGATGAGCCATAGTATAAACAATCTTAACACAACAACATTGACAGCAATTCATACCAGCGGCAAAATAAAAAAATAAAAAAATAAATATTGCATGAGGTTGTGCAAAAACATTCAACTCAAAGCTACTGCCGTGATTCATAACCATGTTTTTACCACACGCTTTGCAGTAGCAGTCACAAACTTTAGGACTTCAGCCCAACCTCATAAGCTACAGAACAGGAAACCTCTTGACGCAGAGAACAAGGAACAGCCCATAGAAAGGGATCAGTCAATACCACCTCTCTATGTTTGCAAGGCACTTGTTCTGATGGAAATGGAGCTGTATTATGTTCTTTCTCACCCTTACTGCAGTTTTATCCACTGAGAGCAAAAGTTTATTTTAGAGTACAAAACATTAGAGCGACTATCAATAACTGTGGCACCACTACACTTTTTTTTTTATCTTTGAATCTTATTCTTATTTTTGAATTATACAACAATGATGGTCAAACAGCTAGGCTACTCAGCTAAAAACACATACCTCCATAGTACGCAGACACGAAAGGAAGGGGTGGGCTTTCGACCATGACGCACCCCAAGAGGCATAAACAACAGACTTAGTAGCGGACAGAGCCATAGAGAGAAAGAGTTGCGACACGCTTTGATGTCGCCGCGACGGCTGTCACGTGGTTCATGTAAGCCCCAATAGTTCCACAACAGACGCGGGCTGTCATGTTCTTCTATGGACAGACAGCAGCGATTGCATTATTAAACGGTAAATATAAAATAAAACACACACCCAAGTACTTTTTCAGCTGTTATTGCATTTTGTTAATGTCAGTTTTGCATTTGGAGAGGCAGGGTGACAACTTAGATAATTTTTAGGCTATATTTTTGGAGGGAAACGCTAGTGTTCATGTTCGCATGGGTAGCACTGGCTTTAGCGGCTCTAACTTAACTTTTCCATGTCATTCATCTGATGATGGACGTCTCATGATATTTATTTTAGCACAACTGGGCTGTATTAGGCTATTGATTCCCGTGATCTTGCTTATAAATTCCGCTTCGTGATCACGCAAAGAGGTCTGCAGTCCGTTCAGAATTCCAACCAACATAAAATATAAATAATAGAGAATGCGGAGATGACGTCACGCCGTGTTGCATTATGGGTCCGCGGCCATATTTACAGGATCGCGCCCTATTCCGCTCATTCCGCTGTAGTGAAATTCATGTGTTGGAGGCTGCTTTTGGATTTTCTATCACTATTTTAGATATGGTTGGTCAGTTCTGCTCGATAAGGGATTGCCATAGCAGGTCACACGACCGTTCAGGGAGGAAACTGGTCAACGGGGTACGTTTTTTCAGCGTTCCTTCTTGGAAGAAACAACAAGGGAAGCAGGTCGAGGAGCTAACGAGAAGATTATTGATTGTAAATTATGTATTCAATTTTTCATTTTAATTATTAAAATTTGATTAAAATCTAATCAAAAATAGATCTGCCCACCACAAGCAAAATAAAACGAGAAAATAAAATGAATTTTTCTACAATGTTGATGATTATAACTCATCTTTTTTATTGAAAATGCAACTGCTCAAACCCACTGCTTATGACTCTTTCAAATAACATAACTGTAGCTGAATATTTAGCACTTTTGTTTGTTTTAATAACTTGGCAAAGAACATAAGTACCGTCTTACCTTTGCAAGTATGACTGTGCTCTCGCAGTTAACCGGCCTGTGAATGAGGAGGTCTTGTACCCAGCCGCTGCAAAACTGTGCATGAGCTTCAATGGATTTATAGCTCTTAAACTCCTGCAAAGTATACGCACTCAATCCAAAAACAAGGTAATTGACGATGTCCGGATATGTGAGAGGAGGTAGTGCGTCTGGATCCGTAATCCAGTCTTGGGCTGCCAAATCATATGGATCGACGTTGTTTATGGCGGAAAGTTTGTCCAAATAACGTTTTTTAGCAGCGGCATTCAATTTTTCCCGGTAGGGTCCCTTCTCTTTTTGTTTCAACTTCTCCATTTATTCCGTTCTTCTTCAATTTTACGTTGTCTCACCCAAACACACCCACTTTTAAATGCCATAGGAACGGCCGGCGAAAAGGTAAACAGAGAGACCGTGCCTGTAAAGATGGCGCCCACGTCCCATAATGCAACACGGCGTGACGTAACTCCGCATTCCCTATTACGCTGTGCATGTACAAATGAATGATTTAGGAGGGAAATAGACTGCTCCCATAACGTAGAAAGCAACGACTATATACAGCAATGTTCGGTAAATATTCAACCGAAAAATATTCTTCATAAAATTAAACCGGAGAGATAGTTAATGAGTGAATTAACTGTGTTCCTAAATACATAGAAGCACATATATGCATAACCCTAACCCATTTAAATAAATGAATTGTGTGTGTGTGTGTGTATGTATATAATATTATATATAGGCTATATATATATATATATATATATAAAATATTATTAAAAATATTATATATTATATACATCAGGATCAGGTTACCAGTTAGCTAACGTTAGTGAAGTGTTGGTCACCAGGGCCTGAAATTAACACCCGACCACCTGCCAAATGCGGGTGAATTTTGCTATTGGCGGGTAACACTGTCAATCTACCTGCCACATTGGCAGGTAGCCAATGAGAATTGAGTGATTCATTAGGTTTTTTTTTTTACGTTTTCATTTTCATTGCGTTGGACCTTAGCTATAATGTGGCGGCACATTACTGGGGTAAAAAGGCCAGCTGAAACAAACAACCAACAAAAAGATGAGGATGAGTCAAAGAAAAGTAAAAGAAGACATTTTAAAACAAAGTGGTCAAT